TCATGTTTTCATGTATTAGTTTTTTAAAATTTGTTTGGCTATTTTATTATTTTATTTATTTCATATATAAAAGTCTATAAACAAGTGAACTCAATTGATCCTTTCACTGATCATTTCTTGCGTTTCCGTGTTATTCGAAAGCCATCGACTTGTAAGCTATTCATGGCGTGACTAGAGAATATTAAACGATATTGTCTGCCTTGTTAGTTTATTTTTTAGAATAATCTGTGTGCTTTGTTAGCTTTTAAAGATAAAAAAGAACTGATTGTCACTTGTAAAAGATGCTGTTGGCTGTCACTAAGTTTTGTTCCCTAGGGCACTGTTTACTCGGTGTACTTTTCCAGTTGAGAAACAGTCGGAGTTTTTAGTTTGTCATCAGAAAAAGCATGTCGTTTTAGTTTATGATTACAGAAACTGTTTGTGTTATTAGATTGTCGATTGAGAAAATGTCCGCAATTTGTGTTTTTCCCTAAAGCAAGTATCCGTACAGTTTATTCGTTATTAACATCGAAACTGCAACACATCGATGTTCACAACTAAATTAAATTACATGACTGCGTCTGTGGTTGGTATGTCCTACTTCTGGACTCGCCGTATGTTGTTTCTGGCTGTATGTCTCTCTTTTCCCATAACTGTGCGCCATTATTGTGTCGATTTGTTTCTCTTTACTCAACCCCCCCCCCAAAAAAAAAATACCCCCACAACAACAACAAAAAAACAAAGAATGTACACCAGTTTACGACAAATTCTCAAGTCAAGAAAAGATTAAGTGAATTCCATATAGCCGTGAACAATGTCATCTGTAGTTTAAAGGTTAGGCTCCTAACAGTTGTACACAGAGTTCAATTCACGCGTGGGGATCTTTCTTTTCATTGAGTATTTCTGTTTTGAAACGCTGCTTTACCTTGTGTTCGGTTTAACGCAGTGATGTTTAGGTCAAAGCAGCCTGTCTCCCAAACGATCATTCAATTGAGTCTTAAAACCTCTAGTCTTCTTTTCAGCTTTTCCAGCAATTAGATGCTACTTCAGGATAAACATAATCTAGGTTTTTGAAAGCACCGAGACAAAGAAATAATTTTTGGGCGAACGATGTCTTTCGCAGATCCGGCACTTGATGATGATGATACTGTCATTGGCAGTACCATTATAGTTTGAAAGTCTGCTTAAATATTTGAAGTGTTAATCTAGCTTTAAATGTCCTTTTTTTAAAGGCGGACATAATGCTAAGTGATCAAAGCAACACATTGGTATCGGCTTATTTCCAAGAAAATAAGATAATCATCATCGTGATCATTATGAATATCAGTATCATCATTATTATTATCCTTCTTATTCCTATTTTCATTCTTATTCTTATTCTAATGATTGTCATTTTTAACTAAGAACATTACCGCACAAGACGCCGAGAAGACCGAAGGTAAGCAAAGTACAAGCCATTCCTGTGGCTATCGAGGCCTCTCAATGGAACAGTGTGCACGAAATCCTTGAACAGTTACATTTATACATGACATCTGCCTGAGGGTCAACACTGTGCCACGGGGGCGTAGCTAACAGTGTGGGGATTTTTTTCGTCTTAAAAAAAATAGTTGTCCAATTACTTATGTAAGAATGACTTTGTAACTTGAAGAGTTGGTTTGTTTCTGTGCGAATTAATTTGCGTCCATATGAGTTACTCATTTTAACAAAAAGATTTACTTTACTTCTGTAAGAGTTAATGTAAGAGTTCGTTTGTTACTGCAACAGTTGGTTACTAGAGGAGTTATTTTGTTATTGGTATATGTTTTTGTTTTGGGAAAATTTGTGTATTTTTGTTAAACTAGAAGTGTTAGTTTGTTACAGTGAGAGACAGTTCGTTACTGGAAGAGTTAATTTGTTACAGTATGAGACAGTTTGATACTGGAAGATTTAGTTTGTTACAGTGAGAGACAATTTGTCAAGCGGAGAGTTAGTTTGTTACAATGAGACACAGTTTGTTACTGAAAGAGTTAGTTTCTAACTAATAAGTGCATTTCTTTACTGTGAGAGTCATTTTGCTAATGGAAGAGCGATTTTGTTATTGTTACAGTTAGTATAGGACTACACAAATTTTCTTTTTTTTTAATTACTTGAAGGAATACATGATAGTTTTCTAAGGGTAGACGGTACCGATTCCCCCCACAATTCAGAAGGTAAGAAAGTGGGTGTGAGAGGTGAATAGCGGACGTGTCATTCTGGGCGGCCCAGTGCTATTTCTGAGAGAAAAAATATATTTCCATGTCCAAGCCTTTGTTTGGAGAAAATGGGTGAAAAATTGTGAGATATATTATAGCAGAGAAAGTCCTTAGGCGAATAAACACAAACTTTTCAAGGAAAATCTTAGAAAATTAAAGCTTTTTTTCACAAAAGGGGCCCCTCATCTTCTGACTGATGGGACAAAAGACCGATTGTACTGAGTACGTGGTTTTTGTCTATTGGATACACAATAATTTTTTTCTTAAAAAAA